GGCAAGCATCATAGCTTATATATGACCAGGTTTGTCCCAGAGAGATGCCCATGATATAATTTGGCCTGTGGGTCAACTTGTGCTCATAGCAGGGGGAAGGGGGAGGGGGGTGTGGTTGACATTGGGAGGGGAGACTGAAAAAGGAGCGGGGTGAATAGCGGTAGACAAATCCACTGATCTGTTATAATTTTAAATCTATTAACCAATCAGCCATTAAAATTTTGCCTTGAATCCGAAATCTGGGCAAAAATATCTTCATTTTACGCAAAGTCCAAAATCCGGGCCCAAAAACTGGATGTATCCGCAATCTGCTGCAATTGCTGGATCTGGAAATCTGTTAAAATCTTGCTTTGAATCTGAAATCTGGGCAAAAATATTTTCAAAATCCACCGATCCATTGGCCTATTCACCTCCCTCAAAAAGGGACAGGCTACACATTTCGGACCTGTGGAGGTTGGCATCTCTGCACATCTTTAGTTAATTTATGATAGACTTTTAAACTGACATTTTATAAGTGGATCATCCGTCTATAGTCCAGTTGAACCACCATTAGGCAGCCACCATTGGAGTACTGGCAAGTGGCCGCTTAATGGGAGCCGGGTCACTCAATAGAGGTTTGTCATAAATTATTAGCATTATTTGAAGCTGGGCACTTATTAACTTTTTCTTCCTTTAGGATGGGCACTTATTCGATCGAGGTGGGTGTGGCTAATTTGAGGAGGGGTGCTTACTTTAATAAACACGATATAGGGAAGACAACCTCGATAAAATGAAACCTTGTCATAACAAACACATTATGCTATTCCCTTAGCCCTTTGTTATATCAAGGTTCTACTGTATAATACACATTCTGTACCTGTTACAAAGTCATTATGCTATTCCCTTAGCCCTTTGTTATATCAAAGATCCACTGTATAATACATATTATGTACCTGTTACAAAGTAGACCCCATATCTTGCTCTTAATTTGAGGAGTGGCTTAACTGCCTGACGAATCTGATAAACAGAAGCATCAACCAGGTCTCCATTTATGGATACAGCATCTGGATTCAGTTGATTAGTTGTCTTTACCACTCTTTCAAGCATTGTCCTACCAACAGTAGGCCCGATATGTACATCAGGTAGCATTACTATCGTAAAACCATTAAATTCGGATGGAAGATTCTTCATTGGTATTCGAACCTTTTTAACCATTGGTTCTTTGATTGCATTCTGAAGTGCTAACACTGCTAAAGTTGTGGAAATTACAAGGATTAGAATAACTTGAAATCTCGCGTAGTGTATTCTTGAGTTAACCAGACCGGATCTTAAATTTATCACGCCAAAAATCCACGTAAACAAATCGCTGATGACAGTGGTCGAAGTCAACAGAATCAACAATCCTAAACTTGTGTAAGATAAGAGAGAGATCCAGTGCGGTTCAACGCCAGAAAATATGAGTCCTAGGACAATGCTACCTTGCGATAAGCTAAGCACTATGATAATAAATGCCAACAGAAGTCTATTTATATTAGAAGGATGATTGTATAACGGCGAGCACAAACGAATCCACAGGTATCTTGCAGAAAAAAACATGACAGATTGCAGAGTTAACCAGCTTTGGACCAGTATTAGTTTATACTTGACTTTCTCGTTCAGGCTCAAGAAGGACGTCCCTACGATGGAAACAATATTTATGCTAACGACAGCTCCAACAGTCACTAGAACTCTGTCCATTTTTGCGCTCCTTCTGGTTGACGCCATCTTGAAGTCTTGAAAGAATAACCCGCGGTGTCACGTGACTGTAAAAAAAAGAGGTCAACGGACAGGGGATGCCGGGGATGGCGGATTTTTTTCGTTCGATCCTAATCAAAAGGCCCTCGTATCTCACCAGGAGCCCCTAAACTAGAGCTATTCTGTCATTTATTTTCTTTCTTGTTAAAATTTCTCTCTGCGTAACAGTATCAGGAACCGATGAGAGTGATTTGTGCCCAAAGGTCTGGCCCTCGAAGTATTTATCAGGCCCTATTTTAGCAGTTCTCGTACATTCTCTCTTACGTAGTCCCGCTAAAATTGGGCCTGAGATCAGGTTCTCTTTTCGTTTCGCCTTGCCCGCCGGAATGTTATTTACAAAGCGAAAGGAAAATAGGGCCTGATCTCAGGTTATCCTAGAAGGGAATAGTAAAAGTAACGAAAACCACAGGTAACCCAAGTGTAGCATAATATGAATTTGTATGGGAAAAGAAAGAATTTGTATGAAAATTGACATAAAACTTACATCGAACAAATGAACAAAAAACAGCAAAGGTTATGAAAAAAGAGTCAATTTTGGGTTTTCGACAAAACACTGACCCCCTATTGACCCCCCAGCCATTGTTCCAGACACTTACAACAGTTCTATCGAACACAAAAACTTTGTACGTATCATAAGTCGTTATTTCAATTATTTTAAAGAAACATTTTGCATTTCAAGTTGCAGTTTCTTAACAAAATTTAGCCAGACAAAAGCTTGGATTGACCTCAAGTTGTGATATTACAGTTTCCCACTTATAAACGGAGCACGTGTTGACCGGTTTTCGTTATGTTAGTTTTATCGGCTTGCTAATTCATATAAGCATGAAACGTAACTTGTTGTGTCGAAGAAAATTTATCGTGAATTCTTGCACCTAAGAAAAAATTTTCCGCGTACAAGGTGACGCTTATTTATCTGACGCAATAAACTACGGTTCATACAGCTAGCGTTAAAGAAAATGAAGCGTGACTTCTTGCAACGAGAAAAATATTTTTTCGATGTAACAGGTGACGCTTATTTTTTTACACGAAACAGGTCACACTTCACCTTCATGTTCCTTTTTACGCCAATAGCATCAATTACCCCTTTTTTGCAAAATTTCTCCTGCATAGAAAAAAATAAATTGATAAAATGACAAGCAACGACTAGAGCGTAATAGACTCTACTTGTTTACGAACTGAATCATACAGTATTTTGTATCTCATTCTGGCCTTCAGATTTATTAGACATTACGGACACGACATGACTGCATAGTGTTATACAGTTTTTATGGAAACTGTGAACACAATCAAGTGTTCAATTTAGCATGTGTACATTCCTTACACAACCATCTAGTTTGTAAAATCTCTGCACCCTTCTGACCTTCATCATTTATCTTCTACATTGCATAAATCTCACAATTAATATATTACCAGAGCAAGAAATTAACATCCCGACCGACTCTGATTGCTGTTACTAGTTATTAGCCTATTAAAGCCCTGATTATTTTGGCTCTAACAAATTACTATATCCACTTGATATACAAAACACAATGTGAGCTAAGGAGACATTATTTTATTCTTGACCATCAATACATGGACGAATAAATACAAAACACATTTGAAATGGTCTGGAAACCTTGAAGGAAACTTTTCATTCTACTCGAGCTCTCTTGCATCACTGGGTCATAACCTATCCTCTGAAAACTGTAGGATGTGGACCTCGCAATAAGATGACAGGCCATCATAGCATTGATTGCTCTTCTTAGGGACGGAACATTAGAAAACGTATGGGGGGGGTGGGGGGAGGGGGGCGAAGAACAAAAAAAATATTCGCGCAAGGGAAAATTAAATGAAAAAAATTCATGCACGCCCATTAACCCTAAAAAATATTCATGCTACGGCCTAAAAAAAATTCATACAAAGAATTTGATAACGAAAAAAAATTCCTGCTGCTCGAAAATTCCCCACTCCCCCAATAACTTTTCTAATGGTCCGTCCCTTAGGGCCTGTTTACATGGAGGTGGGGGACCCCAGGTAGATGAGGTAACCCGCTTAGGTGGGATAACCCGCCTGTCCATATAATCTCTCACTTTAATTTGATCACGTTTACATGATAGGTGGGGTGACCCGCCACATGTTACCTCACCTACCTGGGGTCCCCCACCTCCATGTAAACAGGCCCTTAGACCCCGTTTAGACGGGTATGGACAAGTTTTCCACGGGACGAATTTTTACCTGTGCAACCCGTGTATACAGAACCGTATCCTGTTATAGATTGCAGTGCTGTTTACACGAGTCCATAATGCTGATCAGGTCAAAAACTCGCACGGCCCCGTGAGTATCGTGTAAACGAAAGGCGGCTCCGTGCACATTTTTGTCCATTCAAAAAATGTGTCCGCACCTGTGTAAACGAGGTTCTGATTGAGAATTTAGAATCGATTTCTAAATTTGGCCTCTTTTGAAAAGATAATCGTGTACAGTCAATGAGCATTTTCCCTTAAGACTCAAGGGCGGACACGCGAGTGTTACGAGCCAGAGGATGTAACAAACTGGTGCAATAAGCTTCTTCATCTACAATTCAATTTATCTACTCGTCAGACATAGTGAAACATTGTAAATACAATTGTGTCAGATGAAATTCAAAATACAGTACTTCCTAACTCGGGCGAGCGGGCGAGCGTTGTTACATGTCAGAGTTTTTGCTTTGCAAATTGAGTGGCTGTTTCCACCGCTTTCTTAAGACAGCCAACGTTGGGCCCAGATCCCTGCGCGGACAGGTCTTTTCCGCCGCATTTGCCTCCTAAGAGTTCTGAGACAGACTTGACCCACTCATCCGCCTTCAGTCCTTGCTGAATTACTTCCTGTAATGAAAATATTTTATCTCTGTTTAGACATAACGCTTCAAAAACTAATAATAATAATAATCATAATCATAATCATGATGATGATGATGATAAACAAATATCAACTATTAGTTTCTAGTACTATTGAGTGTTAGTCGTATAAATGACGTGATTATAAGGCGAAGTTCCACTCAGCTATTGCGGAATTACAACATTTTGGTCGCGTATAAATAACTCCCGTATTTTCGACTATTAACGTACCGTTTGCCTTGCTCGTTCAAACAAGACACAAAATTGGCACAGTCACAAAGACGAGGAAGAAAACTGTTTTTCAAGCGAGCTTCGCTTGGCCCAACCGCCGTAATAACATATTACTTCACGTAGTCTAGGTATTTTCCCAAGTACCATTGCTTCTTCAAAGGGTCAACATCGTTAAAGAGTGTTTACCTTCGGTACTTGAGCCAGACAAATAATCTTTCCATTATCTTCATCCACGCTGAACAGAAGAGCTGCAGTTTTTGGAGCCAAACTTTTGAATTGCTTCAGAGCTGCATCGAGAACCTTAAAAGTAAAAAAAAGTTAGTTAATCTAATTCACCGTGAAAACCTTTCATCAAAATGGGCTACTTTCTTTTTCTCGGAAATGAACTGGGACTAACATAGATCCGAGGCTTGTTCGACGGCACGCGAGGGATTCTTCTCTCAAAATAATGGAGAGTTTTAGCTCCGAGTTTACCGCGAACCTCTAACCGCTGGAGGTCACGTGACAAGTCTTTCGCGTCACGTTTGAGGTTTATGACGTGCGTTTTCAACGTGGGGAGGTAGGTTTTCAAGAATGTTATTTACCTGAAAGCTTTTAGCGTATAATTCTTGTTTTATCCCACGTAATGATACAAAAATCTTGTGGAGCAAGTCTTTATCCATTAACAGAGGCAGAAATTTGGGCGAAATGCTAAAATTGATAAATCCTATTGGATCTTGAAAACAAGTGCCATTCGTGGCTGCTGATTCAAAATGGCGGCCGTAAATTTGCAAGAAGAACTAATGTAAGAATTTACAGCTCTTTGCTGCTAGATAACCCAGTGTTACTGTAAATTTCTTTTATTTTCACTGATTGATATTTCTTCTATTTCTAAAAGGAAAAATAAACTTACTTCCACTTCTTTAATCCACCGCCAATCTAAATCGTATTGTGTTTGAACGTCGAACCGCAAACGGGTAACCGCCAACTGCGGTTACAGGTTTGCGGTAAACTCGGATCTAAAACTCTCTAATATTTTCACTCACTCCGGCGCGCGTGGCCCGAGGTAACATTTACATTTCCTCCTGTCGTGCAAAATATCCCGTTCAGATTGTCATGAAAACGAGGTGAACACGCGGATACAACATCAACACAAGAGTCGGCCACTGAAAAAAGTACAGCTTTGAAAGCTCGAGCTTGCTTAATTTTTTTTATAACTTAAGATGCTTTGACGAGTCGCGTTCCGGGTGTGGCTGAACATGTGTCGCACTTCAAACCGTTTGAGAGTGGTTGTCTTGTTTAAACAGTGGCTTAAACAGTTATCAATCGAGAGAAGATATGACGTCATGGTTTGTTGGTCGATTGGTAACGCTCTAGTAAGTTGTACTGGACGACGGAAATTCCTTGCAAGGAGTTGTACAAACTGCTTGTTTTCTTTTCAATCCCACTTTATGACTATTATTTCGCTTTTGCGCTACTATCAACTACTAGTAAAATTCAACTAGTGGTCTTATCAATGCTGCGTTCTGATTGATTGAGCTACTACTAGGCTATATGGTACAGCCCACTAGTAGCGAAAAGCGCCGGCTTTTTGGCGGCAAGAAAGAATTAAAGTCTAGCTTTAACTAGCTAAAGTTGTTTTGTCTCGATATTTTTGACCAACTAGTTGGATTTTACTAAAACCATTATTCCTCTCGCCCTCATGGCCTCTGAGTCAATAGCCCAGTCGGCCTTCGGCCTCATGGGCTATTGACTCACAGCCCATTCGGGCTCGAGGAATAATTGTTAATTAGGGTTCTTATTCGTATAACTATCTGATTAAGCCCATAACATCCACAGGTGAGCTTCTATTTTCTACTAGTGCAGCCCGATGTAACGCTCTAAGACCGTCCAGTTAAAGATATTCATCGCAGTATCGAGAATTGCCAGGCTCATCTTCTTTTATTACTACCTTCTGATTGGATCCAGCGTCAAAAACGTCAACGACAAAAGTCCTGTTACTATCCTCCGCAATCATGGCCTTTGCTTTATCCACAGCCTGAAACAAAGAATTCAAGAGTTCTGAACTTATTCATGTTGTGTGGCAACGTAATCTATGGATATTATTTTTTGACGTGGCGGGCATGAGACAAACTGAACAGCAAGTGACGCACATACACCAACCCTCGGCCTGGCCAGTACCTAACGCATGCGCACAGTCATACCACCCGGGCAGTGGGAGCCATGACAGCTTTTTCACCCTTATCAAGGCTCATCGTCATGGCAAGGCCGTCGGACCTATGAACCAACAAAGTCGTGTTTTTTGTTGTTGTTGTTGTTGTTGTTGTTGTTGTTTCGAGTTGGGCGTACACAAAGGAGTGCAATGCTGTGCCGCCTATCAACACACAAAACACAGACACAAGACCACAACACTGTACTTCGTCAACTGTACATTACATCTCGCCTCAGGATGGGTGCACGAGCACGACAAATATCGCCGGGGTAATGAGCCACGTCCGCCACCCCTTACTAAATTACACAACTTCACCAATATCTACAGCACATAAGGACAACTTAAAAACGCAGGAGGGCTGACTAAATAGCTAACTACACTGCAATAACAAAAAGGCCACATTAAGCAATAAATCACCATGGCTTTATGCAAAGCAATATTCGAAGCAAAGCAGTAAACGCACAAAGAAGCATGCAGCTAAATACCACTCCACAATAAGTGTTGAGAAGTCCTATTCAAAACACTATTATACAAAATTCAATTTAAAGTACAAGTTATTTACAAACTAAGTAAACATTATATACCAGTCTTAGAGCACAGTAAACACAAAATCAACTAAACACTGATTAAAAAAGCTTCATAAAAAAGTCATATAAAATGGCACTAAATTTAATTTAAGCACGAACTAAGCCGTGTATCTTGGGCCTTATACTGCCGAGGCGAGTGCAAAAGCACTCCATTAAGCACCAGCTCCACTCAACACATTTGGGAGCTGTTGGCTGGGAACCACACGGCAGCTTTCCTACGGCACGCGCAACAAAAGTCCGCGGTCTCAAAATAACCAGGATGAAATCAACGACGTATACAGATTATAAAAGCTCTGCCAGATTTTCACATGAATTTTAGTGACAAAGAAAACAAAACAAAACCCAACACGGAACCAGAGTTCATCTTGGTCATTTTGAGATGAGAATGGTGGAAAATGTTGGTTATATTCACAATCGATAAAACAGTGTATACGAGTAAATTAAAAAAGTAAATTGGTCGGTATTTATTCACCTGCTGCATCATCGCATTCTTCTTTGCTCGATCAGCATCGTCCACAAGTTTCTTCACGGCCTTTAACTTTGTCCTCATTTCGTCTTTACGCCAGGCAGAAATAACAGCAGCGGAAAGATCCTGGAGTAAGGAGAGTAAACGAAGACACAGCGGCAATATTGGTGTACAACACAACAATGAAACAGCGCTGGGCTATGTATATGTACAGGGCCTTCGGGATAAGGTTGTCTTCTCTCAGGAAATAAAACTTTCTTTTGTTCCAGGAAAATTGCGAAGCTGCTGACCACGTACGCGTAAACGATCTATAAGATTCTTAGGCCTAGGCCAAACGTCTAACTTTTCTTGAGACGAACCAAACTCTAATTTGGGTCGACCTAAATTAAGTTTACATCGTCTGTTGGGTCAGATGTCGAACTCAGGATGCATCGAACCAATCAACTGAATTAGATCAGTAATAAATTTTCTCCTGAACGAGGCTAAATATACATTATCATACAAATTTTTAATTTATGAGTTGAGTTCGTCGAATGTGAAGACCATCGTATTTGGAATTTGGAAGTGTTGGTTTTTAGGGAGAGGGGAAAACCGGAGAATCCGGAGAAAAACCTCTCGTAGCAACCAACAAGAAATTATGTACTGGTATTTGAATAAAGTATTATTACAAATGCGAGAAAATTATCACTAGCACTATTTATTCTTACTTCAGTGAGTCTTGCAATTTCTTGTGATGTCCCCTTGATGTTCAAGCTGCCATTTTTCATCTTTTCCTGTACCAGATTCTGTATTTTTTCGACCTGTTCCTCCAATAAGTGACATTTTTTCTCAGCTTTGAGCGCCTCCGGTCCTGTCAGGGCAACTATCCTTCTGATTCCTTTAGAAATTGCTTCCTCTGATACAAGAACAAAGGACTGCATGTGCCCCGAGCGTTGCAAATGTCTGATGAAAACAGGTTTAGAAGAAAAAAGGCAGTTTACAATTACTGTCAAAAGCATTTCGTCCTTTGAGAGGTTGTAGAGGCTACATTATTGGACAAAATGTTAAAAAAAAACGGACGTCGCCATGTCTAGTTTCAAAGTAAAGCTCTTTCAAGCACTGGCAGTAACAAAAAATCTTCCCTGTGGGTAAGGATGTGCACAATTCTTAACACTCTTTGTCCAAGATTGTAGCATCCCCTCTTTTACAGTGATTCGTACATTTTATGTCACATAGTTTGGGACAAATTCTTTTTGAGGCCTTCTTTCAATACGTCCCAGAAATGTCTCTCTCTCGAAAATGTTAGCACTAAATATTAAACACTTATATGTCACATGTGCATACAAACAACTTTACCTGAATAACAGTTCATTTGCCACGCAGACAACTTTGTTTGCTGTCGGTTATGTGGGAACTTCGGAAGTGGAGATAAAAAACAAAAAAAATATATGGAAAAATGGAATTGCTGCTTACGTTCCGCCACAAAATTCCACAGAGTATTTATATCCGGCCTGTGGATCTTCTTGTAGGTCAGCAAATGACGAGCCAATAGAAAGTACGCGGACTGGGTCAGGGTAAACCTAGAAACCAAGAAAAGTTGAAACAGCCAATCACAATGAGTGCAGACCATCAAATGAACCTATCAGATTTCAAGGCAGGAGCACCGTAGCCGAAAGGTGCGCAAGAGCGCGAGAGAGACTTGATTCATTTTTTGCTTTTCCCTTGACTGTTGACTGCGAAAATCTTCAACCAATCAAAAAATGTAACAATGTAAAACCAAGGAACAAAGATTATTACATAATCACCACAGTAGCACGTCTTACAGCTACAATAATTATGCGAGTAGATTTAACTTCTAACTTCATTTATAGAAACTTCAACGAGGTATGAGCTGAGTTTTCTACGAGCTGATTCATTTTAAAAAGAGGCAATTTAATACACTCAACAGAAATCACAATTATTTTTGAAAAGTAAGACCAAGCTGTCACTTCGTCGACGTCCTTTTTACGGAACTTTTACATTGAAAAGAAACAAAAGCAACGCGTTAAGATGCAATGTTGCGCGTTTTACCACCCACGAACCAAACCTGTCGTGCAACAAATCTACCTTTTGTAACAAAATCTGTACATGCTTCGCGTTTTACCTGCTCAAGCCAAACTTGTTTTGCACAAGTGAGGTAAATCCAGTGTCTGGCGTGACTCCCGCGCGATTTTATCCAAGCAGAAGTCAGTACTCACTCAATTTAACTTGATTTGTTGCAATACAGGCTTGAACGTGTGTGGTAAAACGCGCAATATCGCTTTCCAACTCGTTTTGCAACGATGTTGCAAAACAGGTTGCACGTTTTTCTGCCGTTTTTTCCGTGGTAGCTGCAAGTGAAAAAAACCTCTGCGGTCTAGAAGCCACGGTAATTTTCGCGAAAACACTGTGCAAGGTTGTAACGGATTATACTAACCTCTTCAAAAATTGCCCTGAGTCCTTGAATATCCTTCGCCACGGCTAAAGTGACTTCTGTAGCAAATACAGGCATGTTTCTTGATACAATATCCTGGCTTGTTAGTTCAGTGTTCTTGATTTGTTCGGTTGTCATCGCACCCTAAAGGAAAAACCATACAGTTAAACTCCAGGAGTGCTAAAAACTTAAAATCAACAAAATTCGGGAATTTCACTTTTTAAAATCCTGAATATATGAGTAGTACCATACGAGGGTACTGTGCAGTAATAAAAAGGTTTCATTTGAAAGGTTCACAGTTAATTCATTACACACTCATGACCACGACTGTACACAGGTTTAGCATCATATTCAATAATTTGAGTTTGAATGAGCTGTTAGCCATTTTTTGTCACTTTCCTATTTGAAATTATTGCATTTAGACACCTCATTGAGATGGCCATCAGGAGATCGTGCAATTTATCACAGGTTTATGCTGGGCATATCGGGCGACAATATTAAATTATTTCATTTACAGAGTCATTGACACCAAGGGAAGTAGCAAAGATCCATAACAATGCCCTTAATCGCTGATCTACGTTCTTGATGGGTGAATTAGTTTGTCATGTAGTAACAAGACAAACAGACAGATTGACTTTAATTTTCGACTAACGCTCGCAATTTTTATTTACTTTGAGTATCGCAATTGTTAAAGAGGCATTTTAGTACACTTAATTTACCTTAGCGGTGAAATCAAATCGGAGTTTATCGGGTGCAACTAGCGAACCTCTCTGATCCGCTTCGCCCAGTTCTTTTCTCAAGGAGAAATTCAGCACATGCGTAGCGGTGTGATTATTCATGGTGACTCTTCGCCGTTGCTGTAAAAAAAGACGTGTTTTTAACTCTCTGCATTTATATAAGGAACGGAAATAAACTATGCCTAGAATGGAAACATCTTTGGAAGAAACATTAGAACGTAATTACAGTGACTATCTTAATCTGCAAACGACAGACACCGTTGTTAATACAGACCTTTACCATGTTTACATTCTATTGACAAGGAAGACTCTGAGAACGAGATTACCAAGTAGTGCGCGCGTGTGAACATCGGCGTCACTTTGGCGGGAAAACGTGGTAGCCGTCGTCATACTACTATTTTAATAGCGAGCTGTAGTTGCGGCAACAAGTTATCAAATGTTACAAGTTTAATCATTTTGCGCACGGGAGAGGGCTTAATCTCCTTCAATAAAGTTAACCGTGTTAACTTTTCTGTAAAAAAATACAATGAAGCTTTTCGGGGTTCAACTCGAAGACCCCGAGCGTTGCAAATGTCTGATGAAAACAGGTTTAGAAGAAAAAAGGCAGTTTACAATTACTGTCAAAAGCATTTCGTCCTTTGAGAGGTTGTAGAGGCTACATTATTGGACAAAATGTTAAAAAAAAACGGACGTCGCCATGTCTAGTTTCAAAGTAAAGCTCTTTCAAGCACTGGCAGTAACAAAAAATCTTCCCTGTGGGTAAGGATGTGCACAATTCTTAACACTCTTTGTCCAAGATTGTAGCATCCCCTCTTTTACAGTGATTCGTACATTTTATGTCACATAGTTTGGGACAAATTCTTTTTGAGGCCTTCTTTCAATACGTCCCAGAAATGTCTCTCTCTCGAAAATGTTAGCACTAAATATTAAACACTTATATGTCACATGTGCATACAAACAACTTTACCTGAATAACAGTTCATTTGCCACGCAGACAACTTTGTTTGCTGTCGGTTATGCGGGAACTTCGGAAGTGGAGATAAAAAACAAAAAAAATATATGGAAAAATGGAATTGCTGCTTACGTTCCGCCACAAAATTCCACAGAGTATTTATATCCGGCCTGTGGATCTTCTTGTAGGTCAGCGAATGACGAGCCAATAGAAAGTACGCGGACTGGGTCAGGGTAAACCTAGAAACCAAGAAAAGTTGAAACAGCCAATCACAATGAGTGCAGACCATCAAATGAACCTATCAGATTTCAAGGCAGGAGCACCGTAGCCGAAAGGTGCGCAAGAGCGCGAGAGAGACTTGATTCATTTTTTGCTTTTCCCTTGACTGTTGACTGCGAAAATCTTCAACCAATCAAAAAATGTAACAATGTAAAACCAAGGAACAAAGATTATTACATAATCACCACAGTAGCACGTCTTACAGCTACAATAATTATGCGAGTAGATTTAACTTCTAACTTCATTTATAGAAACTTCAACGAGGTATGAGCTGAGTTTTCTACGAGCTGATTCATTTTAAAAAGAGGCAATTTAATACACTCAACAGAGATCACAATTATTTTTGAAAAATAAGACCAAGCTGTCACTTCGTCGACGTCCTTTTTACGGAACTTTTACATTGAAAAGAAACAAAAGCAACGCGTTAAGATGCAATGTTGCGCGTTTTACCACCCACGAACCAAACCTGTCGTGCAACAAATCTACCTTTTGTAACAAAATCTGTACATGCTTCGCGTTTTACCTGCTCAAGCCAAACTTGTTTTGCACAAGTGAGGTAAATCCAGTGTCTGGCGTGACTCCCGCGCGATTTTATCCAAGCAGAAGTCAGTACTCACTCAATTTAACTTGATTTGTTGCAATACAGGCTTGAACGTGTGTGGTAAAACGCGCAATATCGCTTTCCAACTCGTTTTGCAACGATGTTGCAAAACAGGTTGCACGTTTTTCTGCCGTTTTTTCCGTGGTAGCTGCAAGTGAAAAAAACCTCTGCGGTCTAGAAGCCACGGTAATTTTCGCGAAAACACTGTGCAAGGTTGTAACGGATTATACTAACCTCTTCAAAAATTGCCCTGAGTCCTTGAATATCCTTCGCCACGGCTAAAGTGACTTCTGTAGCAAATACAGGCATGTTTCTTGATACAATATCCTGGCTTGTTAGTTCAGTGTTCTTGATTTGTTCGGTTGTCATCGCACCCTAAAGGAAAAACCATACAGTTAAACTCCAGGAGTGCTAAAAACTTAAAATCAACAAAATTCGGGAATTTCACTTTTTAAAATCCTGAATATATGAGTAGTACCATACGAGGGTACTGTGCAGTAATAAAAAGGTTTCATTTGAAAGGTTCACAGTTAATTCATTACACACTCATGACCACGACTGTACACAGGTTTAGCATCATATTCAATAATTTGAGTTTGAATGAGCTGTTAGCCATTTTTTGTCACTTTCCTATTTGAAATTATTGCATTTAGACACCTCATTGAGATGGCCATCAGGAGATCGTGCAATTTATCACAGGTTTATGCTGGGCATATCGGGCGACAATATTAAATTATTTCATTTACAGAGTCATTGACACCAAGGGAAGTAGCAAAGATCCATAACAATGCCCTTAATCGCTGATCTACGTTCTTGATGGGTGAATTAGTTTGTCATGTAGTAACAAGACAAACAGACAGATTGACTTTCATTTTCGACTAACGCTCGCAATTTTTATTTACTTTGAGTATCGCAATTGTTAAAGAGGCATTTTAGTACACTTAATTTACCTTAGCGGTGAAATCAAATCGGAGTTTATCGGGTGCAACTAGCGAACCTCTCTGGTCCGCTTCACCCAGTTCTTTTCTCAATGAGAAATTCAGCACATGCGTCGCTGTGTGATTATTCATGGTGACTCTTCGCCGTTGCTGTAAAAAAGACGTGTTTTAAACTCTCTGCATTTATATAAGGAACGGAAATAAACTATGCCTAGAATGGAAACATCTTTGGAAGAAACATTAGAACGTAATTACAGTGACTATCTTAATCTGCAAACGACAGACACCGTTGTTAATACAGGCCTTTACCGTGTTTACATTCTATTGACAAGGAAGACTCTGAGAACGAGATTACCAAGTAGTGCGCGCGTGTGAACATCGGCGTCACTTTGGCGGGAAAACGTAGTACCCGTCGTCATACTACTACGGGATTTTAATAGCGAGCTGTAGTTGCGGAAACAAGTTATCAAATGTTACAAGTTTAATCATTTTGCGCACGGGAGAGGGCTTAATCTCCTTCAATAAAGTTAACCGTGTTAACTTTTCTGTAAAAAAATACAATGAAGCTTTTCGGGGTTCAACTCGAAGGCTTCCCTTTTGGAGGCGTGTGTGGCCTATTGGTTAACACCTCTAACTCCGGATCTGGACCTGAGGTCCGAAATTCAAGCCTTGCCCGCTGCGTTGTTTCCTTAGAAAGGGAACTTTACTCTACTTTGTCTCTCTTCACTGGGGTGCATAAATGGGTACCGGCGACATACTGCTGGGGGTAACCCTGCGATGGACTAGCATCCCGTCCAGGGAGGAGTAGCAATACTCCTAGACATGCTTCATGCTAAGGAAACTGCGATAAGCTCCGGCCGTCTGGGCCTATGGCTCGTGTGCGCCTTTCCCTTTATCTTCCCTTTTAACGGGTTGGTGCCAGTCGTGAGAATAAGGGCCAAAGAACTGTAGTCCAGTAGTCCACGAAGCTATTAGGTTTAATATTATGGAGAATACATACTTCATCTATTTGGCATTTCATCTGGTCTCCAACTCTCAGGGTACCCTCTATTGCTCCTACATGAAGAACATAGCCTCCGTGAATCTGAACATTCGTGACGGAAAATTCCACTTCCTAAGACGAAAAGACAAAAGTAATCAACTTAACTCAAAAAAATTAAAAAGGAAATGAATTTTTGCATGAGAGTTATGTCCAAAATGCTATCTATAACTCTTGGAAAAGTATAAGCAGGAAATCGAAGGATCCGAAGAAATACCTCTCAGAACCGATAAAAGGATTGCTGTCCGAGATGCGAACGCTGGTCACTTTGATGGAAGGCAATTATTTTCTCCTTAATGTCCCACTATCAAATGGTATGTACTATTTTCGACAACATGGCTGAACATAAATTCACAGCTAATGGGGCGAATTCTCCGATTGAATTCTTTTCCCCAATTTATGTCACGGCTGCTTGTATCAAGAGAAGGCTATAAACCAATCGCTGTTAAAGATGTCCCTTACTTCATCTCCTTCTTTGGTCATGAATCCCTGATCATATATCTGCCCACCCTGCTCGGCATAGAAGCAGGTTCTGTCCATTACAACACCACAGTGACTTCCGCTAGTGACCTCATTAACAAACTCTTTTTCATAAATGATTGCCTTTACCGTACCAACTACAGGCTCAAACACTAGAAAGAAAAGACACGAAACATGGTTTAATAGTTTGCACACTGGAATCGAAGTCAGCAGTTAGCGTCATTGGCATGAACAGATTTGCCAATATCTCAGCACTTTGTTACGATGAGATACACGAAGTGTGGAACTCCAATCGACACACCCCTCGCATATCCCCTGTGGTCATGTAACATAACTAATAAGCGTGCTAACGTTTGTGGTGAAAAAAAAAGTATATTTAAGCTTTCCGGGGTGTCTATTTGTAAAGAATAGGCGACAAAACTTACAATTTATAAACGTCGTCCTCGTCCTCATAACAGAGACTTTACGATCGGACGAAGTGATGGCAGCAAAAACGTCGCTTCAAAAATGAATTTTCACTTATTTTGTCAAATGTAGGCGAACCATCCCGGAGATGAATTTCTAAGAACCATATTCAGGTTTAGAAAGAGAATCAAATCTCCTCGTCGCTTCTTTACGTCTTCCATAAAAAGTGAAATTAGGCAATTTCACGCCGAATTCGTGCAAAAACGGCAAAGAAAGGTACAAAAAAGTGAGATGCACGTGCAAAGTTGTGAAGAAAAAGTCAAGGTCATGATATTCTTGTGTTCACGCTTGTGCTTATATCAAGGCTGTTCTCTCACCTGTGCATATGCTTCTTATGCTTATACCTATGCTTGCATCGCTGGTGAGGACCAGTATTACTGTAAGTCCACTTACCATAATTGCCTTCCGCATCAGATGTGTATTTGTACTTAGGACTTTCGTCTGTGGGATAAAGATTGAATTCCTTTTGCAGCTTGTTGATGGCATGAACATCAAGAGTGATGGAATCATCGTTTCCAGACCCCTTTCCTCTGGCAATTTCCTGTAAGTTGTAATGACATTNGTGAGGACCAGTATTACTGTAAGTCCACTTACCATAATTGCCTTCCGCATCAGATGTGTATTTGTACTTAGGACTTTCGTCTGTGGGATAAAGATTGAATTCCTTTTGCAGCTTGTTGATGGCATGAACATCAAGAGTGATGGAATCATCGTTTCCAGACCCCTTTCCTCTGGCAATTTCCTGTAAGTTGTAATGACATTTTTAAGTGGCACCCAACTACCTATTAAATGTTTCCAAATACGTCAGCAGAAGTGTTTCAAATGGTTTTCTGTATGTTTTAAAAGCCTTCTTGGTTAATTTGGAGTTACCGTAAGAGTTATTTACTTGTTCAGACGTCTTGGGGAAACTTTGGCCGTTTCGAAAGTTTCAGGTGGCTTTTTCGTCTCGTTGGAGACTGTTAGCTACCCTAAAGGGTCCGGTCGAAAGTTCGAGGACATGGGTTAGCTATATTGTCATTTGAGAATTTTAGGAGACGTTTTGTCTTTATGCCTCAATTATCATGAGACCTTTTTCAACAACAATCACACTATGCAGGTAATAAAATGTGAAAAATTGAGAAAGTGCCATCCCCCAAAAATCTAAGGCAAGTTAGTAACAAACCTCTCAATCTCTTAGACGAATGGAACGGTCATCCAAAAATTTTCAGGCTTTTTTGAGCTTTAGAAAGTTTTAGACATTATATTACAAAAAACGTGGTCAGCTGCCCTGTTTTTGCTTAACCCTTTAAGCCCTGCTAAGAGTGATCAGCTCAAAATTTCTCCTTGTACTATCAATTCTCTATCAAACAGAGTGGTGATGAGAACTGAGGACTTGATCACAGAAGATGAATCCAATTGATACTCATTCAACACTGGATTCTTCCCACTACTTCTATTTGAAACCTACAGGGACAACAAATGACAATTTGAATTTCAATGTTACGGTTTTCAAAGGTAAACACTATTGCAAATATTTGGTTTTGTCAACTGAGTTGATGAGTGTGAATTGTCACAGCAAAGGGCTAGCGCTCCAAACGAAAGGGCTAGTGATCAAATAGCCTGCGTAGCAAGCGTTTCCAATCGAGTTATTGCGCGATAGTTAGAGCGGGAGCTCTCGTCCCAACTTTCTCGACGAACTCGCGCAGAAACGCTTGCTACGCAGGCTAGTGGTCAAGATGGCAGGATATGGGCCAAGTAATTTTTTGTGTATGGACTGAGAGGGCGTTGAGGTCAATAAAAACGCAAAAAAAAAAACAAAAACAAAATCAATACAACAAAAAAGAGGCAGTTACATAGAATCGACTATCAGTCTTTGAACCACTTGCAAGGTGACAAAAAAATCCTGAACATCACTACCAACCTGGGCTGTTTTCTTGCATTCTTCATACATGCCCATGTCCACAGTCAGCCCTCTTTCTTCAGCCATAAGTTGAGTCAAATCCACAGGGAACCCATACGTATCATAAAGCCGCCACGCAACATCCCCAGGGATAACCTGATCTGTTAGCTTGCTAACTGTTCTGTCAAACAATTTCCTTCCTCTGGCCAAAGTTTTAAGAAACTGGGTCTCTTCTTCATTAATCACATCCATTACCTGTAAACATTCAATCCTAAATGTTACTTGCCCAATACAAAAATTTATTTGTCTCACATAAATACAGGGTACTTTTTTCAAGCCTTGTCAATAGATTTCACCCACTATACTACTACATGAAAAATTTCTGCAATTTGATTGGCTTAGAGCAGTGGTATTTCAGCGTAATTCGAAATACCTACATGTGAAAATTACAAAACTATTGCGGGTAGTAGTATAAACAAATAATAGCATGATTTGTACGTGATATGTGGCATAAATACCACTCATGATATTTCAAAAGTTGTTTCAAATTTCACTCGCCTACGGCTTGTGAAATTATGTATAACAATAATTTCGAAATACCACTCGTGGTATTTATGCCAAATATCACTACAAATCATGCTATTACCTATACAAATTATTTTTGAAAAAAAAAAGGTTTAAAGGCTTGTTTATAGTGGAAAGTGCACTTAGCTTATCCAGCTAGTTTACAGGAACTCCACTCAAATACTTAGAAACAAATATATCAAATACTACATAACAGGATTAAATACCCCAACTTGCAGGAGGTAACCAGACGGCTATTTACAAATGTGGCTGAGGATTTCAAGTGGGAATGACCGAGAACAAACCAGAAAGTAGCCAGAGAGGAAGACTTGAACCAGTGACCACCACATTGCGAGTCCGATGCACTGACCACTCAGCCACACTGCCTCCTTAATGGAATACATGACTGTATTATCATTACCAACTCTCACTACCCTTCCCCGCCCCCACCTTGCTTATCCGCCTTCCCCGAAGAACCCACTCTCCTAATTTTCAATGAATTACAGTCAACTCTCTCCAAGATGGACACCTTTGGGACCGGCACTAAGTGTCAGTCTTAGAGACGTCTGTCTTATAAAGAGTCAAATAAAGGGAATAAGCAAAGGCATGGACCAACTCTAGGTGTCCGTTTTACAGAGGTGTCCGTTAAGAGAGAGTCGACTGTATAACTAAATATAGTTTCAATAAACGCAGTCTTAATGTACCTGTTGAGGGTCTTTAGTCACTTCTGGGAAGAACTCACCCTGGAAAAACAAAATAACATCCATGGTCATACTGAACTGTCGACAAGATTACCAACAATACATTTTCTGCCTGGAGACAATGCTTATAAATGCAAATCATGTCTTCTTAAGATTCTGCTTATCATTCCTCTGAATTCTGATTGGAAGCAGAACATGTTGCGTGCAGAACGCTTGCTCCCAAAAGTAGTGAATTATGCTCATAATTTTTTTTTGACAGAATTTATCTTAGCCTACAAATCAGGTTGAATTCTAGTAAGCTTGAACTAAAAACAGCTTCCACCATTACAATCAGTGAATACTCAGTCAGCAGGGAAGAGACATCATCCCAAGAAGTTGTACTTTTGAAGTTATCAACTATTAAAGATGACCAAATTAATTTATAAGCAGCAGGACAACATTTCTTCACACAACAACTAATATGACTTTTAGTTTTACTTTCAATTTTGAAACATACCAGAGTATCAACAGCAACTGAAACCAGTGTAGCCACAAATCCTGGGGGACAATTTAGTTTTTCTGTGGCAAAACGAACACATCTTCTTAAGATTCTTCGTAGCACATACCTGTAAACACAATTTAAGGCAAAAGAAAGTCAATATGATTACTCTTTTGTACTTGCATACATTTGTCAAGTACTGTAATGTTTCCTACGTGCTGTGAAAAGTGACTTAAATACAGTAAACACCCGTGAATAAGAACCTAGTGGATTAAGAACCTCCTGGCAGAAATTTGCCACTTTAATAATAGCAACTTTCCCTTGCAGCATTGACCAATCAGAAGCATTACCCAGATCTGGGTAGTGCACATCATCAGTACGGAATTTCTGAAGTCTTTCCTCAGATGCCATTTCGTGGGCAAACCACTTGTTGGTGTCGCAAAATGCTAGCCATTTTCTCACTAATGAGCTACTATTTGCCTAGAACTAATTGTTGTTCTGTCTTACCCCCTGCCAGTATTGTCAGGTTTCCCACCATCTGTTATAGCCATTGTAAGTGTCCTGATGTGATCAGCGACAACCCTGTAGGCCATGTCAATACCATCTTTGTCCTCAGGACCAACAAAAGGGACTATCCCGGAATGTGGACAGCGGATTTTCTTCAATTTCTACTATTGTTGATGTTCTCGTTTGGTCACTTTTGAGTCAGGTACTTCTGTTAAGTCGTTTTAATTACTGTTTAACTGTTTACTTTTTATAAAACATTATATCACGTTTCAACAAATTCATAGGTTGCTCATATGTAAATACTACCTACAGTTATTTTCTTCACATTTTGACAACATTAACATAGAGTCATTGAAGTGTTGAGTAACATTTTTATTGTTAATTTTTCTTTTAAAATGTTTATTAAAACACTCCTTTTGAGAACAATATTGAATACTTGAAAATATATGTAAAAGGATATGAATATAAAAAAACAAAATAATTATGAAAATGAATATATCAATATATTTTTAATTATAATAAAAAAATTATGTTCAAATGCAGACAATATAATTTTAATTTTATAAATTTAATGCTTTTCATCAGGTGTTCACGCCACTGTTAGTGTAAAAACAGCTTTGCAACAGAAAGGCAGGATTTGGAGGTAAAGTTTCCCATATGACGCTGCACACTAGAAAAACACCTCTGGCTGTTGACTCTCTAATGGCAAAACAGAATTTATAGAAAACAAACAAGCTCAGAAGAGGTTTTGAAATTACAGTACTCCAATTCATGCAGTGCAAAATTAAGTAAAACTGCAGGAAACTTATGCCAGTTTTTTATTCTACTGCTGAAGCAGGAAAAGGGCTTTATGCCACTTATCAAGGAAGATTTCCCTGGAAAAATTTACCCACAACAGTGAACCACACAAACACACACAAGGAGTACTTACCTTGTGAATCGTTTCAAAGAATGGTTGAAAGAGATCTGTGTCATAGTTTGACATCTTTCCTTGAGTAATTGATGTTAGCCGCTCTAGCCCCATCCCAGTGTCCACATGCTTGCTGGGCAAAGATTTTAGACTGCCATCTGTTTCCCTAATTTTAAAATGCATTAAGCTATGTGAAAACGGATGCAGCAACTCCCAGCTTTGTTAGCCTAGCAATGTTGGGACCTGAAGTGCATTGTGGGAAGGATACACCTATAAGACTTTGTCAGCCATGTGCAATGCACGTGCATGACCCCAACAATGTTGCAAGAGCTGTGCAAACTGATCCAACATTGTTGCACCATGCTTCAGCAATCACAGAAAAAAGAAAGTTAAAAAGTTTGACCGGACTCAAACCTCGAGCAACAAGTCCCGATGACATGCAACTACATGCAACAGGGTGTGCAATCAGACACAAGCCATGTAACATCCAACAATGTCGCCTCTGTTTGCACAGGCTCTACATCTATAACTTATAGAAGTGTCTAGAGAGGATAAAGCAAATATAGTGATATGATTGGCTACTCAAATACTTCATTTCTACTCCCTTCTGACTTCTTGTTGACTGCACGCTAACTTTAACTTCATGTCGTGTGTAAATGAAATTCTACGGTGAGACCATGAAAATTAAATATTCTTTTTACAAGTATTAATTGTTCTTGTTTTACTCATGTTTACACAGTACCATTTGCTTTTCAGTCTCCCACCAGAAAAATAAAATAATTTTGTAGTGAAATCTTAAGTCGCAAATACCTGCATCTACATTTGAATTTCTCTATACAAAAATCACTTATGACAGAAAACAGAAAATGGAATAATGATAGATTAATGCTTTAAGTCCCAATAGTGACCAAGATCAAATTACTCCAGACAATATCCATACACTGTCAAGAGATTAGTTATGAGAATTAATAGAATAACCACTCAAGAGAAAATGCCTTGATCTATTATCAGATTCTCTCAACTTGTTCTTTAAAGAAATGTATAGAGACCAGTTTGGAGAATTTGTATGTGGATATTGGGGCTTAAAGGACTAAGCGATTGATACCTGTTGAACTGTATAAACACAAGATTCCACACTTCAAGAACAGTAGGGTCGTCCATATTTACAAGTGAGGCAGCATCTCGTCCATCAATCCTGTCAAAGTGAATCTCGCTACAAGGTCCACATGGGCCAGTTTCACCCATTTCCCAAAAATTGTCTTTCATTCCAAATGGTAACACTCTTTCTGGGGGAAGACTTAAACAAGAGGACAACAGTATCATTTTTAATAGGTTGACAAATAAATTTGAAAAGCATTTATCTTATATCTTCTGAAGGCTCTTTTTAAAATGCTGTGCATGTATAATAAAGAGAAAGAAGATCATAACGTTCATTACTTCACAGATGTATAAGTTAACTATTTGCACATTTATTTAATAAGAAGCTGTTACAACTAGGACTAGTGAACATAAAAATTTAGTCTTGGCCAAAACGTAACACTATGCACATGGAAGGCTCTGTAAGATATCCACTGTTTGATTTTCTGTAGATAGTATTCTATTAAGTAAATAATACCTTTTAATAATACCTAATTAAGTTCACTGTGCCATATGTACACTGTGCAGTACACAAATTAAGTTTGACTACTTAGAGTAAAGTATAATTTTCACATTATGAAAAATATTATCAATATTTTGTTTGCCCCCAAAGAAAAATTCTAGATCCACCAATGAAAGGTAGGTTTGGTGTCAGGTTGGAGAGGTGTTTTAATTGACAAATAATGAATTATTGCTGGTGATTAGAGCAACATGTACATGACATACCCCATATTGAGCCAAAATTGTCGCGTCTCTTCATCAGATTCAAGGCCTTCTTCTCCTCCAAAGTACGTGACATAAAGGCGATCTTTGGGCATGCCATACTTCACAGTTAACAACTCCCAAGCCCACTCAATGGCTTCTTTCTAAATTCATAAAAGGTTAAATAACTTATGCATTGGCTACATGGAAAAAAACACAAGCAGTCATCAAGATAGATATGATGGGAGGTCAGAATAAACAGATACATGTAAGACACCTGTTCTTTGATACTAATCGAAGCATGGCTGAATTGGTGCTCAGTGACTTCAAATTCCACTTTGGCCACTAGCTACAGTGTACTATGGGTCTTTGTCCACGTTTGTCAATGTTAACTACTACTAAACTACATACATTATTATTTTTTATTGTGTTACTCTTATAAAGTCAATTTATATATTCATTTCCTTTACTGATGCTTATGGTGTAGTCAAGATTCAAAAATATATATTTAAAAAAATTAGACTGAAGAAGTTTGTTTTGGGATTTCTTTTATCTACCATAGAAAGTGAGAGGAAGATGAGGGGTTGATTATTTAAGGGGGAGCTGCTTTCAATACTTTTCCTGAAGGGGTGGATACCCCAGGGAGGTACTCCAGATTTCAAGTGACAGGGATGATTGAAGGATTTTTCGGGTAGGAAAATTTGGCAAGTACCTTTTTGGGGTGGGTTGATCTAAGTAGGGATTTTTTTGGGTATTCAAAACAATCTGAACATCCATGATACTGCCCAGCTATCCTGGCCTCGTAGTTCTGAGAATAAAGTACAACCAAACTTCTCTTGTGGTTGCTCGGAATTTAGCATGGGATTTTTGGGGGTTTATATTTGGTCCAGGGATTTTTTTGGGTTTTGATTTTTGCCCCTATTCGATCACCCCCATCACTTGAAATCTGGAGTACTCCCTTAAGGTGGATACATAATCAATAGAGAAAGGCTACAAGTTGTCACTTGTGGTGTCTAATCTTTGACACCAAGGAAAACCTAACTTCTCACCTTGAAGTAATCTCCAAATGACCAGTTTCCCAACATTTCAAAGAAGGTATGATGGTATACATCCTTTCCCACGTCATCTAAATCATTGTGCTTTCCACCTGCACGGATGCATTTTTGGCTGTTTGCAGCACGCTTGAGTTTGGAGAAGTCACTATTTGGGTCCACTGTTCCCAGAAAAATTGACTTGTACTGGTATGAAATAGAATAATATAATCAATATATAATCAACAGGTTGAACCATACGTAGTTAGAACACTTTCAGTAACCTGAGATAAGTGTGAAGGGGCTGTTGCTAGTAACTGCTCCTATTTAAGTCTAACTATCAAAGGCAATCCATTAAATGTTTGACCTTTCAAACTGACCCTTTCCCCTTTTATGATGAACTTGACTGTGCATATACCCTAGAGAGTTGAAATACCGGTAGATACAGTCCACTGTCACCTTATGGTCATGTCACTATCATTGGCCACCTTACAATACGGACAGAAGCTGAATCTTTAAGTCCGGAAAACTACTTTATAGCAACGACTTCATTTAAGGTTAGGGTATAAGACAAGCTGTGTTCCCCGAAGTCTTCATCTTGGTCTCCAGATGTAACAAGCTTTGCGAATTTGACCTTCCTCCTCCCTTCCTCCACCTCTTTCTTAATAGTGGTTTATTTACTCTGGGTGCCTTTTTTCTCTGCCCTCACCTTTGCTAGAGCGTAAAAAATTAAATAATCATTGCCAATTAAATTTGTTTGAAGATGTTATATTTAACCAATAAATCGGCCATCTTGCGTGGCCAAAATTATACCCAAACACATCCTTGTTCCTTATTTTTTTAAGCGCTCTTGCAAACATAGCTCGACTGATGACACCAGAATTTAGCGAAAGGTTCTTCTTTATAATAAGGGTATAAAAGACAAGCAGGCAAGGAGGCATAAAAACTTTTAACATTAATCTTTTCCTCAGAAACTCAGGTATGCCATCGTAACATAAGCAATACTGTGATTGGTGAGAATTAAACCAATCAAGTCAAATGTTACAATTCCAACAACATCTTTTTTGCATGTTTTTGTGCACAAATGATGTCATGTTTTGTGCATTATGATGTCATCTATTATCACTTCCCAGTCAATTCTCAATATTTGATGAAGCAGGGGATTGACAGCTCTATATTCAGATAGGAAACCACATGCATGTCAAAAGCTCTGGGGTGGCCCAGGGGTTGGTAAATGCTTGACCCCCGGGCAGCGCAAAATTTGCTACAGTATGTTATTCCCCACCGCCAGGACTGACAAGGCAAGCATATGCCCCAAAGTAGCTTGGGGTGCCTGGGCGTAGCTGGAATTGACTGATGTATTATGCACATCCAATAACAAGGGTTAACCAATAATCGATTTATGTTAATTATTCGTGAAACCGGGAAAGGGCTACCTGCCAATATTAAGAACACTAAAGATATTGATAGTTTTAAGCGCAGACTTTTTAATAAGATATTTCATACAAAATAATTTTGAATATATTTTGAATAATTTTGAATGTGTTTTGAATGTAATTGAACTACTGTAAATAAGTTTTCTTTTCTTTTCTTAATTACCAGTATTATGTAATAATTAACATTGTGACTGAAAAGCCCTGTTGAAGGGAGTCTCAATAAAGTATGTATGTATGTATGTATGTAAAGCTTTAACTGGCAGTACTGTACATCAATCGATTTTTTATAACGAAAGCAGAAAAGTCGGCCTGTAAAGTGATGATGATAATAAAAGCTTATAATTACTTCATGTGCTTTTTAAGCAAGCTTATTAATTCGTCATTTTAATTAAGCTTACAAACAGATATGCTTACTGCTGCGATAAAAGCTTAGCTTGGTGGCAAAATTAAAGTTGAAACGTTCCTTTAGCGATCCCTTTTATCAACTGAAGCAAGGCATTTACTTTTTTATTCAGGTCAACCAACAGAAAATGTTTTTTAATGTTAAAGTACCTGATTCATGCCAGCATTCGCGAACAGCAAGGTTGGGTCTTCATGTGGAATCGTGGACGAAGAGGGAACAAATGTGTGCTCGTACTTTTCCACAAAGAAGTCCACGAACATTTGTCGCAGGTCCTTTGCTGATAAGTTAGGATCCATTGTGGAGAGAGAACGGGACGAATTCTTTGACAGTCTGCGAAAGACGATCGAATTCAACGAGGAAATGAACCGATTCGCACCAAAGTACCGGTTAAGAATCATGAAAATTTCACGGAAGTCATGCAATCCATGGTATTAACCGCTGGCCGTTTTTAAAAACGCAAGCTAGTTCAGTAACGCTGTTTTTCTAAATATGGTCAAATAGAATTGTCAAATTGAACCAATCAACGTCAAGTTGCCATTGCCCGCAGTTCGCGGGATGTCTTCAAAATTTTAAAAATGGCGGAATCAGAAGAGGTCGAAGGAGACTACATTATTACGCTGTTTTGAACGTCAGAAAAGAGGTAAAAATAGTCTTTCAGAGGCAAAAGAAAAGAGAAATATTTTATCAATCATGCAAAGTGCATTTTATTGCATTTCAGGCGAACGAAAATGAGCTTAGAGCTGCTTTACAGACGCATGTGCATATTATATTATCACCCGGACAAACATCAAGATCCCGCGAAAAAGAAAGTAAGGTTACAAAAGTTTAGTACGACCTGTTCGCATTAAGCAAAATTTTGCTGGTAGTTTCTCTAGTCCACAATCTTTTAAGTAGTTTGTTTATAAAACCATGTTCACCAGTGTGGTTAATACCTATGAGGTGGAAAGATCTTGCACATGGACCTTAGTAATTACCTGTCCCTGTCACAGGTCGAAGTGACCGTGCCTGCCACATCCACTTTCTTGTATTTTTTTTTTCTCTTTTTTCTCGTTAACGTACATCTAGAGTTCGAATGATTTTTTTTTTCAACGGTAAAATAAGCAGCTATATATATATATTGTAATTGTAAGTAACAACACGGCGGTGCCTTGCATGGGTCCTGTGTCCCTTTTACACTTGCCCTTATTTGGGGCTCCACAATTGTTTATAATATTATAAATAATGAATTATTTTTATTTTTATTCTTTAATCATATGTCTTCTGGTCAATTCTTTCATGACTGCAGTTTTGCTTTCAATAAAGTTTCAAGAAGAAAAAGATGCCGTCTAGAAGATTTGGACGCCTACATTTTTTTGTCAGGTGACAAACTCCTCTTTTCCTTTTGACATTTAAACGTGACCCCTACCGAGATTCAGACAAACATGGGCCATTTCTGCAAGAGGTCGCTAGAGCGCTGTATGAAAACAAACACTTTGCATTCAGTTCTGCTCCCCCTTTTGAAGTTTTTAGGGGTGTTGCAGTTATGAAATTTGAGAAAGATCCAGGAGAATATAATGTAGAATAAATCAAATCATAGCTTAAGTACAAAGATCTACTAAGGATTGAAGCAGAGCGGAAAATGAGAGGACTTTTAAACACTGTGTCTTGATACCTTGATTCTCATCAAATCCTCTTAACAAAATTCAATATTTGTTTAGTAATTTTGATCACTCTGCCAAAGTAGAAAGAGTCCGTTGTCGTACCAGATATTTGATAAGTTTAGATTTTTGTGAAGAACAGAGAGACCTTGTAATATTTCAGACTGCCAGGTCCTGGGATTTGAGATTCAAATATGTTCAAGCCTGGAGTATTCGTCAATTACAAGACCAAACCTTTCTTTTAAAATTGCTCTGGTATTTGCGAAAAAACACCAAATGCTCAAGGTAGGTTTCAATCATAATTTTTCGGGATATCCTTTCGATAACTGACTTTGTACATTATGCTGTTGAAGTATTGAAAACCTTGAGATTTCACTGTATGCCCAAGGTTGATGATTGAGTTTACTCCAAATCCAAGGCAGTGTTTGAAATTGCTTGAGATTTATAAAGAAACATTTTGTTTTTAGAAGAACTAAATAGTTTATGTTGTAAAATTGCGTTGTCTCTTCTCTAATTTTATGTCTACTTAAAATATTTAGGGGGAGTCTAGACCCCATGTAAGTGGCCAGGCTGCCAGTTCATGCTTCCCTGTCACTATCTTTTTCTATATTTTTCAAATAATGTAACCTGTTAAGTGACAAACCAAATAATCAATTAATAAATTAATCAATCAATCGTAGAATTCATGAAAGTGGATTAAAGTTTAGACTACCCAGTATCTTCTTCTGGCTACCTGGTTACTCCATAAACACAGCATACTTTGCTTTCTTTCCAGATTTCTCGCATTTATTTAGCAACTCAGACCATTTTTTAGGGATCCTTGAGTCCCTCTTACATCCTTTAGTCCCCCTTACATTCTTCCTGAAATAAGCCAATTTTACTCTCTTTTCAGCTTATTCAAAGACAAAGATTACCTGCTGAGGTAAGTAAGATTACATTTATGATGGTGAGCTGTCTGACATTCTGCTACAATTAACACAGAATGAAATGAGCAGAAGCGCAAATGAAAAAAGGTGATGGTTTTAGTGCTTATTTTAGTCAGTTGTTGTTGTTTCTAAAGAATGCTAGACTGATCAAGTGGCATAATGCTGTAGTTAAGCTATTGATGACTCATTTTCCAATCCAAGAGGGGGTATGCGTAGTACACCGCATAGTGCTTTGAAAGGTTTCATTGCTTGCACCTTGTTTTGGCGGTCGAAATAAGGCCCAACTTTAACGGCAAAAAATTGTTTCTAATATGTGTCAAATTTGAAATATGATTATACTACATGAAAGAGCTGTGATTCTTTTAACTAGACCTGAAGTTTCAGCTCTGAGAATTTAAATGCTTGCGAAAAATATAATTTTAAATATAGCTACTTGTGCCACTGTTTAAGCGACAAGAACGTGAAATGTAAACAAAGCAAAAATCGTGTAAATAAAAGAGAAAATCACACCAAAGTTATTTCAAGCCCACCAAAGTGTACAGAAATGATGGAAATTGTGGCATCTAAATAGGTATTTCTATCTGAAAAGCTTAAAAGGCAAAATTGTTTCATCGAAAAATATAAAAAGAAAAAAAACTCCTGAAAAACTGAGCCCCTTCACGCAATCGTCCACAGGGTAGACGTGACACCTGCTATCACCTTTAGCTCTGAAGGCGCATGGACCAAATGTTATGTAGTTTTTTGACTCTTGTTGATGGCAATTTTTGCATTCGCTGTTAGTGGGAAATATCCTTGTGTCTTGTGAATCCGAATTTATCACTCCTTTCAAATTGTGAACGAGGCCACAAAAATAGCTGGAAATACCTTGTTAAGAGAAACTAGGGAGGGGCTCGGTGTGCCCCTCAACACCCAAACCTACGTGCACTCGGTAAATGGATCCGGAGGTTTGTGTACTCGACTTAGTAAATTCTTGATTGGTGGTATGTTTAAAAGCAGCGCAGATGATACACAATGCTTCATTTTATTATTGACACTTAAACTGCTTGAGTGCATTTGACTTCGAACGTGGAAAGGTTTCTCGACACTCAGATTTCACTCATTGCTATTTTTACAACTCATTAGGGTGTGAGTGGCTTGAACATTCCTGTTTCAGAAAGTATGACACTTCATGGCATATTTTGGTGGTCCTTCAAAAAACTGACAGTCACCTACAGTGGCAAGGATGTATTCACATCATCCAGTCATGTATAGTCAAGACCAAGTCTGCAATAGCAATCATGCAGAATGTGTTTTTTTCAGTCAAAGCCTAGTAACCAGATGTAACACAAAGGCATACTTTCTACAGCACAATACTGGATGCTATTAGCTTTGCAACAATCCTCAATTCCCTGTACATTCGCAGTCTATGGAATTTAAAATCATGCGCATTGATTCAGCGGCCCACAGGTTGGTTAGGGAGCTAATTGCAGATTGCCTTGGACCCACCTTTAAAACTCACATTCGCAGTTTCACGAATGAAGGCCATGTTGTCAAAAATGCCACTAAATTACCAACGCTCTCCTTTCACTTAGAGAAATTACAGTTGTGTGAGTGGCTTGTATGGATGTAGCCTGTGAGCAAGCTCTCCCTTTAGGGGTGTCGCGGGAAGCCATGTAAGAGCAGCACATAAAAGAAGACGAAGGTGTAAGGGCCAGGAAAGAGAGGAAGAGGTTTCATCCTTGCACAGTATAGATCTTTACAATTTCTTTTAGCGCTGTGTTTCTAAAGGTGCGGCAAAAATTCATGGCGGGTCAGCCTGGAGCTTGAGTGTCATCAATTATATTTAATTGTGGGTGAGTTGTTCTTCTGCCAGTGGTATTTCGCTTCATCTAAGTGAAACAGAGCCTGCATAGCAGGCGCTTGAAAGTATTTGGGTGCGGGAAAGAATGGGCGCGCGAGAGGGAGACATGCACAAGTGGAGAGACAAGCGTGTCTCTCTCCCTTGCGCCTCCTATTCTTTCTTTAGCCCACTATTTCCAAGTGCCTGCTACGCAGGCTATATTGAACAACAATGAACAGTACCTTGCCACATTTGAAGGTAAATCCACCCAAGCAAGTTTAGCGTCCATTGTACGTCATCTATCATCGGCATGATCTGCACCGCTTTCAATTACAACACCCCTCGAAAATTTGCTTAGTCAAGCACCACCCTCCGGGTCTTTACTAAAAACCTTAAATCTGCCTATTTATGCCCACTCCCAACTAGCCTGTGAACGGCAGACGTTTCTCCTCGCTCGTCGCCGCTGAGGGACGTTTCACGAGGAGGAACGTCTGCGACTCAGCAACAGAAATTTCATACTGATGACACAAAATCTGTCCGGAATCCGGTCAGAAGCGCTAATTGGTCGATGGAGTAGTTTCATTGTTTTAGCTATTGTTTACGAATGAGAGACAAAAGACAAAAGGCCACAAAGGTCAAATGTAAATGCGATGAATCTCTAACAAAACAGCCAATATTTGTGGAATATAGTCTTCTCTTGAAGAAGCATTTGAGTTTTGCTGGAGCTCATTTGAAGATGAACACAACACTTTACCAAAATCGACCAGGAATTTGCATTTGGAACCCCATGACTACCGAATTTATTATGTAAATATCGATTTATGTCATCAGTATGGAATTTCTGTCGCAGAGTCGCAGACGTTCCTCCTCGCGAAACGTCCCTCAGCGGCGATGAGCAAGGAAAAACGTCTCCCGTTCGCTGGCTAACTTCTAACATCTCTATTCTTGAGAATGCCCCCTTAATGTTTTTTAAAATTGTATCAGACCCCCCTCTCCAATAAATGCCCCCTGTCTAATAGATTCCC